CCCGGCCTGCCCCGAGTGACGGCTCTTATCGTGCTGCTGACGAGCGGCATCCTTCAGCGGGCGCATTTAAGGGCGCGCGCGCCCAGGGCCGCGGCAGAGGAGCACCCGGAGCAACCGGCACGCGGAGCGAGAGCACCCGGAGCAACCGGCACCCGGAGCGACAACAACCAGAGCACCATGCTGCCCGCCACCTTCAAGCTCTGCGCTGCCACCTCCTACCGGCACCTGCGCAACGTGACCGGTGAGGCTGCGAGCGCGCGGCTCCGGCGCCGTTTTCCCCCCCTGGGTTGAGTTTTCCAAAGGCTTCGTGTCCCTGCTCGGCTCCCGGGTGGTTTCGTGGCGTTTCCAACGGCAGCATCTGAGATGGTGCCGCAAAGCGGGTCGAGCTCCGCTGCCTGTTTGGAGCCCTATCCGGATCCGCCTGGGATAAATCCTCTCTGGCCATGAGGACTTTGTTACTGCGTCCCGTTTCCTCTGGCCTCTCCCGAGCACCTTCCCTGTGAGCACGGAGAGGTTCGATGCTCCTCGGCATTTGCACGAACATCCCCCGTCCCCATGCACCGGAGCTCGGACTCGGGGCGGAACGTGACTTTTACAGCCTGTTCCAGAGCAATTTAATAGCAAAAACTTAGTGCGTGTGCAGGGACTTCAGCAAAAGGAGGCGAACGAGGGTGTTTGTTAGAATTGGTGTTTGTTTCAACGCGGCGCCTGGGCCGCGTTGGGCCCCGCTCAGCACCGCGCTCTCCGCAGGTCTACGGCGACAAGCGGCCGCGGCGCTCGGCCAGGAGCTGAGCAGACTGTCCCGCCGCGGCGCCGCTCCCGGCGCCTGGATCCACCACGTTCGCCGGAGAAGCTCCTTGCTCGGTAAGTGACCACAGACCGGGCTCCAGCCCCGCTTTTATGGATCGGGAGAGATGAACTGAATTCCTGAGGCTCCCTGTGCCGGTTACGTGATCCAGATAAGGGTTATCCGGTGTTGTGATGAATTGAGTCAACCTTAAAGTCATGCTGCTTTTTATCCGAACGCTTCCAGGCTCCAGGCTGGAGGAGAAGCCCTTCAGCGAGCTGGAAATGTCGTATATCAAGCAAGGAGAAGAAGCCCTTCAGAAGTCGCTCAGCATCCTCGGCGACCAGGACGGCTGGAAGACGGAGACGTCGGCGGTAGGAGCTCGGCGTGCGGCGGGCCGGGCTCGTCCTGCTGGGAACGCCGGCCGTGCTGATCCCGCCTTTCCCTTCTGCAGGATAACGGGGACAAAGTGCTGAGCAAGGTGCTCCCGGACGTGGGGAAGGTTTTCCGCCTGGAGGTGGTGGTGGAGCAGCCCCTGGACGCGGTGTACAGCGAGCTGGTGGACAACATGGAGCAGATGGGGGACTGGAACCCCAACGTGCAGGAGGTCAAGGTGGGACACGCGCTCCAGGGGCTCCTCAGCTCCTTCTCGTTCGAGGTAGCTTTGATAGGAGCCTGAGAGAGACTTTGCCCATTGCAGCAGTGATAGGGGACACTTCTCCATCCGTCCTGTGCCTTTAGGAATGGATCAGCCAGATGTTCCTTTAGGAATGGATCAGCCAGACTTCTGTCTTGGCTGTTTCCTTTTTAATGCTGATAAAAAGCTCATTTTGCAGTAATTGCGTTTTTTTTTTTTTGAGAAGGTAATTTTTCAGACATGTGAGACTCAAAACAAAACTTACATTAGCCCTTTCCAAATTGCTTTTTTTTCTTCCTCAATTATGTTTTCAAGACATTGGCCTATTCTCCCAATGCTTTAAAAATCCTTATACCTCCCAAACAATTGATTTCTGACTGGTTTTGAAAGGAATCTCAAAATCCTTAGAGGAAAGTCCTTGAAATCATGTTCTTCATGAGCTTATCCGGAATGGGTTTTAACTACTGTCTATATTGAAGCCTGGATATTTCTTAACAAGTTGAAGTTTGACATTTTTGTTTGTACTGTTGTTCAAGTAATACTATATTTTAAGCAAATAATACTATACTATATTTTAGTAATGCTATAATGTATTATAGTATTAGTAAATACTGTAATACTATAATTATAATACTATATTTTATTGCCTTATTTGCTTAGAGTATTAAAAGATAGCATTATTTGTTTAAAGTATAGTATTCATTTGCTTAAAATATAATATTAAAATATATTAAGCAAATTTTTTTTTAATGGAAGGGAGAAAGAGGAAAAGTGCTTTCCTAATTGCTATTTATAACTCCTTTCAGCATGGTACTTATTGTTTAAAGTGTGACTGGAGTTTAAGCTCTTAAGAAAATAGACAGTGGTAAAGTTCATGCTTTACCTGATACATGAAGCAGTGATGCTGGAGGACTGAGAGTTCCCTTTGCAGTGAAATACATGTGTATTTCCTATAGAAAAGTAACTGTCTAGTGCTTAACTGCAAAGTTTGTCCAGTTATTTTAAAATAGTCCCAACATGCAGGAAAGCATCTGAATGTTTTGCAGCTTGTTCTTGAAACAAGGGCAATTTCAAGAGTAAGATCTTTTTTTTTCAGCTTAGCTTGAGATTGATATTTTGGGTGGAAACAGACACTGTTTCTGTGAAGACTGTTAATTATTACAGCAGGAGCATGTATTGGAGTGTGTGCTAGGACATGCAGTAATCCAAGTAAAAGAGAAGTAGCTGTTGCTTATAGCTCCAAAGTTGATGTTGTGACTTTCCACCATGCAGATTCTGCAGAAGATTGGGAAAGACACCGTGATCACCCACGAGAAAGCGGCCGCCGCCGCCGGGAACATCGTGGGGCCGCGGGACTTCGTCAGCGTCCGCTGCTCCAAGAGACGCGGCTCAACCTGCGTCCTGGCCGGGATGGCCACGACGTTCGGAGCGATGCCCGAGCAGAAAGGATTTATAAGGTACCTTTTTTGCTCTCACTTTATGCGTTACTCTCCCCCCCTCCGGAGGGAAGAAATCCAAAGAGTGTGGCGTTTCTTACACAATCGAATTTATATTACTTTGGAGCACAAAGTTGCTTTAACTGCAACATTTCAGCAGCAAAAAAAAATCCCATCACCACCATTAAGTCACACATTGTCTGCACGCAGAGCTGAGAACGGCCCCATGTGCATGGTCCTGCGCCCAGTGTCCGGCAATCCCTCCCAAACCAAGTTAACGTGGCTCCTCAGCATTGACCTCAAGGTAAGTTTGCGGCAAAGCAAAGCTCTGGAATTCTCCTGTTGGATCTTAGTATTTCCCCAGATTGACCCTCTGCTCTTGTCCAGGGGTGGCTGCCCAAGACCATCATCAACCAGGTGCTGTCGCAGACTCAAGTGGACTTTGCCCATCACCTCCGCGAGCGCCTGGCCCGGACGGTCGGGACCTGCTGATGGCACCGACCCCGAGCGGCGCCTTCCAGGGGACATGGACTAAGTGTTAATTAATTGGGGTGGGCAGCTCTAGGCTTAATTTTGAGCCCTGCCTAAGCCTGGCTGTAAAGGCTGTTGGTACAGAAAGGGCTTTCAGTAAAAGGGGGAGGCTCTGTGCCCCAGCGCAGCACTTAAAAAAACTTTATTCCCTCTTCCCTAGGCAGAGCCCACGCTAACTTATTTTCCTGTACAGACTTGCAGAAGTGCATTTAATATTTATTCAGGCTCTTCCATGGTGGTTTGAGGGGAGAGTGGCAGACAGGTCTTGTGCTTATACATGGATGCAAGAAGAGTGTGTTAGGTAGCTCTTGCTTTTCTGAGGTGTAGCTCCTCGAACCTGTAACTAAAAATCTCAGCAAACTGTATCGGTTTTAAAGAAAGGCTTTTTATTTGTAACTGGGTTCCAGTTTAATAAAAAATAATACACTTGGGCTTCTGCCCAAACCTCCCTCTTGCTCCCACACAGTGTTTCTGGATGGAAGTTGCTCCCAAAGAGCTGTGGGGCAGGGGGTCCAGCTGCAGCCTGTGCCCCCTGAACACAGGAACTTTCTCTCAAGCAGCAGCTAACTGTAGACTGCACAAAACACAGAATTGCAGATCCACTCCAGCACCCTGGTAAACACGAGTCCTTTGCGGGTGTTGCCGCCTCCGAGTGTTCCAAGGGCCGAACGTTCCCTGGGAACGAATCCCCCTGGAGCTGCTGCCTCTTTAGGGCTCCCAGGGGGGGCTGCGGCGGCCGG